TGGCCCAGAGCATCCACTACGTGGCCCGTTTTAGGGGGCCAACGTCCAACTAAAGAAGTGTACGCAGTGAGGACTGACTGCTATCGCATTTCCGGTTCTGTAATCCTCAGTTTGTCAGACTGCCAAAACGTGTTCCACTTCAAAAATGCGAATATCGTTTGTTTTTACAGATTACCAGTAGACATTTCTCGTCTGCGAAGGTGGGAGTCTTGTCCCGATATGACTGTGCAACAAAACGATAGAAAGCGCACTCTTGGGCAATTTTCAACTATCTGCATGAATTATGACATTGAGGATGACGGTAAGCGTGCGTGCGGCGGTCGTGATCTGACATCTACAGACAGGGATGCCTTCTTCATCGTCCAGCGAGCCACACTTTTGAAGAAAAGTTCTACAAAAGAGTAGTTCCGGATGAGGACTCCCAAAAAGCGTTCAGAGATTAACGCGTAAGGCAGTGTTGCGCAGTTAAGGCAAACATCAAAATAATGACGTAAAAGTATGAGGGAGAGTAACCTTTAGTAGAGGCATTGCAGCCTTTGTCCTGGCGGTTTTGAAATTCTTCAGGAAGTGTGATTCATCCTACAAAATTAAAAAGAGCAGGTAAGCGAGTATCTAATGAGCACACAGAAGGAGCGTAGAAGAGAAGCATCCTGCCTAAAGGAGCTGACGGCGGGTCATGGACTCCCTACAAACGAGAAAATAAAACTAGTGCACCGCACTTTCCCTTAATAACTGACGCAGCGAGTGAGAGCAGTTAGTAGTGCTCACTTCAAAAATGTCCACTTTAACGAAGATGCCGTCACTGGCACTACTCACCATGATAACAACACCAAAGGGTGGAAATTCGGAGAGTTTAGCGGCACATCTGGACAGCAGGTCATAGCTGAAGACAGTTATAAGGCTGGGCCCTTGGCGTGGATTCAGGTAGTCGTCTGTAGTAAAAGCGCGTGCTGAACTGACCACGTCAATGTCGGAGCGGTGGATGTTGAGAGGACCGCCCAACCAGCGCAGGATCTGCTCTCGCCAGGAGAAGCGTACGGAAGAGGGTGTGACAATGAGGAGGGGCCATTCGGAGCGGAAGGCAGCAGCGATAGCCAGACCCTGCAGAGTCTTGCCCAGGCCCATGTCGTCCGCGAGTAGAATGCGACCACCCCTCTGGAGTCCCAGTCTGGAATTTTAAAGAATGCAAATCGGTAGTGCGGGAAGGAACGTCTCAAGCGTCAGCGTTATAGGTCTGGCTGTTAATTACCGAACGCCCTCGCGTTGGAAGGCCATCAGCGAGTCGACGAGGGACCTTGGCAACCGCTCAGTCAGAAGATCAGCAGCAGCGGCGGCACCATCATCACGGTCCGTAACGACTGTCTTTCCGCAAATTTTGGACTTGAAAGTCTAAAAAGGCTCAATTTCGAAGGTTCCATCAACTCACCGACACGACGGCGCTTGAAAGACCCTCTAGCTGAACATCATCCAGTGCAGCCGCTTTATTTACTGCATAATTATGACTTGTGTGAGCGAAAGGTGTGGGGCAGACTTACGGAATTTGTTGTAATCCGACAGAAGAAAGTTCCATTTCCGAGACTTGTGATCTAGATAAGGGGGGAAAAAAGGGATCTAAGGAGGAGGCGTATGTGTGCCCTGCGTAAGCTTAATGGAAGAAACAGTCCAGTTGGGAATCATTCGAGAGACTTATATTTTTCTCACATCTCACTACATGTATGGTAAAAAGGAAACTGATACCGCGGCATGCTTAAATTTAAAAAACAGTCCCTTTGATCATAGGGACGCTAACAAGGGTATCTCTGGTAGTTCCTGGTTTCACGTCTACGTATCAGCTTACTCGGGCCCTTGTGCGCTTGTACAGAGAAACTGAAAGCTTTACTTATTTCCCCCAAACAATTTCGGAATAACCAAAGCCCGATAAGGTTTTGCAAACGCTCAATTTGGCTAGCAAAACCGTTAAGTGCCCAGTACAGATCTCGATAAGAATGACCCGTAGACCATTTGATCTAAGCATTTGACGACGGGATTCTCCTGGGAGCTCAGAAACGTGGAACCTACATCAGGACACCGATTAGTCAATATCGGCCACACCGGCGATATCGACAATAACAACAGAAATCGGTAAACAGGAAATGCAGGTCTTTAGATAATTTGGCCGTAACAAGTCGAGGCAATTTTAAGAGTAATCATTCGGGTGGGGTATGCAGACGTCCTCTGTGGGGCAGTCTGCACTCGTTCAAAAACACCGCAAGGATACCTCAGTTCGAAAAACTACTGTCGTTTATTTTGTAATCCTAATAGTGCTTGTTCAAATTCAACACTGTCACCTAAATAGGGGCCACGAACAAACGGTTGGCTCGGAACTTGACTCGACACACTCCGTCCAAGCATTAAGGCTGTTCCTGGACCAGCCACCGGAACAAACTGCCATTTCTTGAAAGGCATCGTACGAGACATTAATCAGAATGAACACACTGGGCATGACCGCAGTTAAACCAAAGAGCAAGATGGGTTTGACAGACTGACAATAGTAACAGCGTCTTGACTTTTATCAGCAAAGACATAAGAGTACGCCAAGTAAAGCGTGGACGGACCTGCAAGGTTTTGGATGGAAGTTGCCCCAAACGGATTCGTAGGGAGGGTGAGAATAACTACAATTAAATAACTGTTATGCGGCCAGGACACTAATGGCGCTACTTTCGTCTCGCCCTAAGCACAATTAGGGCACAGTTACTGAAAACGTGCCGTGGAAATGAAGCTAGAGAACGATCGGGTAGGGCGCAGTGAGCTACTGACATTGGGATTATATTAGGGCTTGGAAAACTCGACTGAGTTATCGAAAAAAGTTGCAAGAGGTCAGTCTAAAAACGTTATCGGATAATTCACTAGACACCCGCAACACGTCCCCTGTCACATCAAGAACCAAATAACAGTGGGGTCAGCCAATCCAGCCCCACGTGTTGACGCGTTATGTAAATAAGTGGACATCTAGATCGGGATAAGAAATTTCTAGCATCTTCTGACATTACCTTCACTGGCCGGCCACAATTTGACATTCCAACTAAAGAACTTACAGCTAGTTGCGTTAGGCTCACTGTCTTAGACATGTGCGCCAATGGTTGGAGGAAACCACTAGTATGGCAGAAGTGTCTCTTTGAAGGTGGACTTGCCTTTAGTTTTATCTATGGCCAGTCTGGGATCATTTTCGACATACTGTCAAAGAAACAAGAGTAAAAAACACGAACCGTAGCGACGCGATGGTAGGGCGTTAAAGACGAGTGTCAATCCAGCATGGTAACCACTCTGTACTTCAAAGCGATCAGGGGAGATGAGGACACAGGTGGCCTTGGTCATCCTTTTTACTCCGCCTGGCATTTTTGATTGCTTTCCGAACCGAGTTGACTTAACGCCACTTGGCTCTGGCCTTTTGATGTAGGGCTGGGCAGATGAGGCTGAACTGCCCTTGGCGATGCTGGACGTGACTGGAAGTTGGCGTAAGGGGAGCCCAACTAGGGGTTGACTGACTTTCACAACCTCAGATGTCACCCTGTCAATAAGGTGGGAACTCGTGTACGGGCTTTAAACAGACTGCAACAATTATATAAATGACATGAGTACCACGTTTGATGCTAACGTACTCCGGGAAGGAAAAAAGTCAAATCCCATGCGGTGGATCCCAGGAATTCCCAAGCACCCGTCGAGGTGAACATGAGATGTTGCGTGAAGTTGTTTCTATTCACCAATATTAACGAAAATGAAAGAATAAATTCTACTTTATTTGCACACGTGTCTATGACACAATGCGTAACTGGGCCGACAAACTTCTAAATTCTCTTGATCCACTGTTAGCCTTTAGACGTCACTCTCGCAAAATCGAATGGAAACCAGAAATCAATGAAGGCGTCTGAATACTGTTAATCGTAATAGTTGGATCCTGGCTGCAGTAACCGGGGAAGCCGCATAAATAGTAATGGACAATATCACCAGATGTACAGACTAGTGTATAGTGAAAGGCGACACGAAGTCATACACGTAGATATTGGGCTGAAAACTATTGAACCTAATTCGTGTTGGAGCAAGAATAGGAATGCACAAATTCCAAGAATGTTGGGGTGACCATGATTGTTTATGCTTTGAAGTAACTACGTAAGGTGACGTCCGGTGCCTAACCTTGATAGCGAACCAGACAAGCTTGCGAGGAAACCGCGTCTGGATATATGGACGCCATACAGCGACGATTTCAGAAGTGAAGAAACGGCCGATCCCGGGGAGCCAGTATTCGAAACGTACTTAGGTCACGCAGGGAATAATCAAGTGACCCACCATAGCTATGGACTGAAAGATAAGGCCGTAAAAAATATAGCCCGTAGGGCCTTAGCGAATCGTAAACATTACTGGCGTCCCGACATATGAACGAAAAATTGACGATTGTAATGTAACTGCTATAAGCAGTTGCTAAGTCGCATGGCGGATGAGTCTCTGATGGACTGTCTAGTGTCACTCCACTGCAACCAAAAGACTATCGCAATCCAATACCTGATCATTTCAAAATTACTCTGGTTGACTGCAATAAAACCGTTGCTTAAAGTAATGTTTGGCAGCTAAATGAGGTAAAATGGGAACGTCAAGAAACTGTTGAATTCTCTACCGTCCGCCTGCTGCTAAAGACCCAGAGTTAGCTTGCATCAGAGGCTTCACTTCAGTTTTTATTTACAGTCCGAACTTGTACAAAATGAGGCCTTTACCTGTTTTCAAGAGTTTTCTTCTGTGGAGGGAAAGACTTTTCAGAAAATGGACGCTTCATGCCAACTGAGAGCGGTACGGATGCACCCCGATTCCGCCTACTAAGGGCCTCGAGCCTTCTTGCTTCGATCTTCCTGCGCTCACAATCTGACAGGGTGCTGGGAGGATTCATACCTACCAAGGACACGCTGGTGAGAACCTTTCCTCAGGAAAGCTTCAAAAGAGGACAGACGAACGAAAAGAATTTATTTTATAAATTAATTATATACAAGCGAATGGAGCATCGCGCCTAATCCTTGTGTAATATTATTGGTAATAAGTTCGTCGACATTTTCCTCCAAATGACGTTTTGGGTCCTGGTACATAAATTAGAGTAGAAAAAAAGACTAACCATTTTGCCCACATTCTTGATAGCCAGCTGCTCTGGTGTCATTTTTTCTTCATCTTCCAACGACTTTAAAAAAATCTATTAAATGTAACAGATTACTCACCTTGTTGTAGGCCTTTACAAGATCCAAAACGTGTAATAGAGTTTTGTGATTCGCATTGCAGTGGGTGGGGTAGTCCGATAAAGCTAGTCCTGCCTGCCATGTATGTTTGTCAAGGTTCATGAGCATCTAAAAGAATAATGTGCGGAGGTTTTTTACCGTCTGCTCCCACTTATTTTTGCGGTAATTGATTGGCAACGAGTAGTAATGTCGGTTTAAGCCATGAATGAGAGCCTGGATAGAGGGCTTATTTAAATGCCCTAAGTTCGACGTGGTTTGCCTTGGTTCTTGATTTGCGATCACCAGGTTCGGGTTAATTAGTCTGAAAGCATCAATGACGACCTGCGAGAATTCACGAGGGCAATCGAGAATCTACCTTGCCCTTTACGCTCTGAATCGGATCAACAACGACAGCGACGGCTCTCTCCGAGAGAGCCTCAAAACTCTGCTGTGTGTTCATGTCGACGCCGGACAGCCAACATCCGAATCCGGGGTGAGAGTGATACCACCCGACAACCATTTCAGGTCTAGAGTATAAAATGGAAAAAGACCATACCGTCCAGTCTGCTTGAGCATGTCTATCATTTTTGCCTGAAAGACCGGATCTACGGCCTCCACACTAACGCCAGTACCGGATTGTGGCATGGCAAAAACGTCGACAACAGTGACGGTGTAGTCATCAACGAATTCGCCCAACATAAGGCCCATTACCTCCATAGGTACACCAGCCCGACCGTGTTTCAGCATTTTCAATAAAGCTAGCGAACTTATGTAGACTTGCTCTGCTGTGTCTGGAACAGGGCCATCTGTGGCTTGCGTATTGGATTGCCCTAGAGCGGCAAAACCGTCAGCACTCAGACGCAGTAGTCCCTCCATCGGCTAACCTTACTCAGAAACGTTTTTCAAACCAGGCACCAGCTATTAGCCCATTAAAACAGCGCATAATTGCTTAGCATGTTACGATAGTTAACAGCATCGGTCAAGTGCTACGCACAATTAGTTTTTTCAGTTTATTCATGAGTGTAATGGGTATACATAATCCTAATGCTTATAAAGTCGAGATCAAACATTCCTTTTTCCGGCCGATGGCGCCAAAACGTGTGTGCTGCTGTCTCCCAGTAGGTTGACAATTCCATTCAGTTAAATTTAGTTTATTTGGGGGAAAGTAGGTTTGAACATTTGAAATCCTCATTTGTTGCACGCAGATGAATTATTTGAAGAAACGCTGGAAGGGTAGTAACATCAGAGGATTACAAGGAGTATATCGAAGGCTGTGCGCATAAAAAAATATTTCATGCGTTAACAGCATCGGAAAGCATATGACTCACTTAGGTGCGTGATGAAGTGATTACTTAAGTATGCTTCAATTAAAGCACACACGAGCTACAAGTAAAGTATTATGGTCTGTTGTTTGCAGGCTTTTTGGCGAATGCTAGCAGTGGTGTGCCGATGTTTATACATTATCAGTTTATATAAACAAACATTAATTTTCAAAACAGTAATAAATTTTTAACATAAGGTGTCATGACTATTGAGGTCGGATGGCATTGTGGTGCGCACTTCAATGTCGATTCAGCTTCTTTTTAAGAACTCCTGCGGGCGCAGACACGACAATTTCCACAGGCAAAGCATTCCAAGCTTCAATCACCCTTTTGGAGAAAAAAACTTCCGTGTGTCTAAACTGCCACCAGTCACATGTAGTTGGAGGGAATGTCCTCATCGGTTAGTTGTATTCGCCAATTCAAAGAAGTTGTAGCAGCCGCTCCAGCCCCCCTTTTCTCCGGCTCCGTTTTGTCGGTCGATGGCCGTGACAAGCACTGACAGGCCGCTGACACACGACCACCCACACCGGCTAGAACTGGGGCCCCTCCGGTCCAGCTGCAGTGACTCCCGGTTGCCCTCACAAACTAGTATCACCTAACGCGCGTCGAACGCTCTGGCTTGATTCCCGTGAGGCCTTGTGAGTATGCGCCCTCCATTCGTCCCCTAATTAGTCCAATCACACGACCACCACGCAGACAGTCACCCCCTCCTGCTAACTGACACACACACGCGCGTTAACATGACACACCGTGACTGACGCTCTCCGTGAACGGACGCTTATCTCTGTTGCAAGCAAACAGCCAACTTACGGCAACCTGCCCTGTGTACAGAATAAACTAGTCCTCCCAGCTCCCTGACTTCTGTCATTAGACGAAACGAACTTATTGTGCGTGGTTTAAGTCGATTTCATATCCTTGACCGCCACAAAGTCTCCAGATACGAGTCAGCAGTCCCGATCGCGCAGGATGCAGAAAGCTTTATTATGTTACCCCGTTGCTGTCTGTTACTCGGGGGAAGGAAATCAAGATTGCCCAATCGCGTTTCGTAAATTAGTGAGCTCTGTCCGGTTATAAGATTGGTTGCCCACCGCCGAACTCTCTCGAGTATGCTGGGGTTTTTAGTGGTCCAGAGTCTCTATGCCTGCATGGTAAGCTCAAAATTAAGCCGCACAAAAGTTCGAAAGAACTTGGCGAAACATTCCTCATCATAGGAAGAGAACGGCCGTTTGACAAGGCATAGGATTAACATCGCGGACTTGGCTATCTTTGAGGAGTGCAGTAGGTACTCGAGGGAAGTTTTGGTCAACACATGCAAGTCCTTCTGAGTGTCTACCTCTTGCCAGGATATGCCAGTCAAGCGGTAGACCTTGGGGTTTGGAGAACTGGTTCCGTCGACGCGTAGGAAGTTGCACTTATATGCCTTAAACGGCGAAAGCCAGTCGTTCGACCATTGCACATGTCGATTTAGGTTTATCTGCAATCGCTCCTCGTCAACTTCTTTTCGTCCGGTTCTCCAGATGTTTATATCATCAGCAAACATTGGGACGTTGCAATACAGTCAGATTGCGCATTCGTTGACGTATATAGTGAATAAAATAGGGCCAAGAACAGAACCTTTGGGAACACCACTCTTAAAGGCAACCTCCGCTGACTGCTGATCACTGACATGGGCAAACTGGGAGCGGCCAAATAAAATGTTGCGTATTCACATCAGAAGCTTACCTCGCACTCAAATACGGCTAAGTTTGTACAGAAGGAGATTGTGAGGTACACTCTCAAATGCATTCTTGAAGTCGATGTGGACCGCATGCACTACATTTCCTCCGTCAGCAACCCGAGTCCAGTGTTCCAGACAGTAGAGCAATTTTGTCACACAAGATCCGTGCTGCAAATCCGAAAGCAGATGTTTGTGTTCAAAGGGCTGTATTAACTGCTGTTTAATTATTTTTTTCATAATTTTGCAGCAAATGGATGTGTGGCCGACCAGTCTGTACTTGTTTGAGGAAACCCGACTTCCACCCGTATAGGGCTACGTAATCCACATTGATTCCCAGCCGGCTGCCGGACATCCGGCCTCGATAAATGCATGGGAAAGCATAAAGAGCGGTTTCTCCGACCCACCGGTAAGTTCCTTCAAAATCGCCGCTGGAATACCAGTCAGTCAGTCAGTGTATTTGATGGAAATAAGCTTACCCCTTTGAACTCCCTATTCTTACATAAGGAATCGAGAAAATAAGCACTAATTTGAAGAAGTCGCAGCATTAAATGAATACAGACATTGATTTTCATAGGGCACTGATCTCATGGCTACAAAGTCACAAAGTCCGCATGTTGCTGCGACATGTCGGTCAAGCCGACATTTAAATGTCTGCACAGATTGAGACATAACAATCGCCTCGGACAGGTTATTCCACGGTTCCACGACAGGTTGGAGAAGAAATATTTTCTCACATTCACTCAACCCTGGGGCACGTAGCTTGAAGGGATGCCCCCGGAGGTTAGTTGTAGTGGAGGGCTAAAAAAAGTCGTCGCACCGGAGGACGTAGTCCAAACCACGCACTATGCGGAAAGTTTGTATCAAGTCTCCGCGCAACTGCCTATAACTCAGAGGATAGAGATTAAGGTTAGTTAGGCGGATCCCATATGGCAGTACACCTTGTCCTCTTACTAATTTTGTTGCTCGTCTCTGAACCCTTTTGAGTAAATTACAATCCTGATACGTCCACGGTCTCCAGGCCTGAGTTGCATAATTAAGATGCGGCCTTACAAACGTGCCGAAGACTTTCAAGAAGCAGTATTCATCGAAAACTGCTAATGCCAGCCTGACGGCGTATAGCATTGAAGTTGCCGCCTTAGCCGCCTTACAACATTGTGTAGAAAGCTTTGGGCTGTCTGCAACCCAGACTCTGAGATCTTTCTGCTTTTTTGCTACTCGGAGTGCCATTCCGTTCAGATGGTATTGTCGCGTACTAGGGGTCTGATTTCCGAGGCGCAGTATGGTACATTTGTTCAAATTGAAGGACAAGAGCCACCTGCGGGACCGCTCGTCCAATCGACAAAGATTTCCTTGGAAGTTGGTCTCATCAGCAGCATTCCGGATCACCTTGCAGATTTTTATGTCATCTGCAAACATGGCACTACCACAGTCCAACCCATCTACACAATCATTGATGAACAATACAAAGAGGGTTGGTCTGAGCACTGAACCTTGTGGGACTTCACTCGCTATGAATGTGCGCCTTGATAGCTGTTTTTCTGCGCAGGAAAATTTAGAGCGTCCACGAGGAAATTCTCGATCCATTTGAGAAGTTTGCCGCCGATGTCTATGACTCTCAATTCATGCAGGAGACGCTGGTGCGAAACACTGTCGAACGCCTTCCGGAAATCAATTTAGGTCGCATGAACAGTGTCCTTTGCATCCAGGGCTCTTGTTCAACTTTGCGTTGTTTTAAGCAAGTTCGTTACAAACTATCTTTCCCTACGAAAGCCATATTGTGCATCGGACAAGAGGTTGTTGGTTTCCAAATAAGCCATAAATCCCTTTTTGATGGTTTTCTCCATGAATTTGCCGCAGGTTGATGCAAGCCTGACGAGTTTGTAGTTCGTCGCAACAGCACGAAAGCCGCTCTTGTAAAGGCGTGTAATGTGGGCCGTTTTCCAGTCTGTGGGAAGGATTCCAGCATCACGCGATTTCTGGCACAGAAAAGAAAGTGGTTCGGCCAGTTGTCGGGTAAGCTCAGAGAGCAGCTTTGCTGGGATCTCGTCCAGACAGTGAGATTTACATTCTTTCATGCATTTTAGGTCTTTCAAAATCTCTTCGTCTCGAAACTCAATATTTCAGTGGTCTGATCTCTCATATTATCAGGACCAGATGGAATGAAATGTGCTTCTCTTGTGAAAAAAGACTAGAAAACTGAGAAAAATTCTCAGCATTATTTGTACTGTCCGATACCTCCAAACCATCATCATTCCTCATGACAGGAATGGGATTCCTGTTACGGGTGCTCTTTCACAAATAGCCGTAGAGCAATTTCGGATTTTTCAAGGGCTCGGTGGTGAAAATTACCCGCGGAATCCCGTCGCCTCTTGAAAATCAAGCCCTTCACCTTATTTCTTTGAACTTTACGTCATGTAAACG